AGAGCGTTCCTGGTGTTCAGCTCTACCGCTCCCAAGGTCAGACGTAAATCGCATCGGCCTTTTGCCCTCATTTGACGGTGCTCAGCTACCGCTTCACTGGGCACTCTTACTTGCTAGAAATCGCAAACTAATGGTGCTAATGTTGCATCTGCTGAATGTAGTAGCCCTGGCTGATGCATCTTTAGATGGGTGACCCGGGCTATTGGTGTGTGCTTGCTCTGCTCTCTAAGGTCCTTCGGTTCGTAGGGTGGGCTTTTAATTGCATGAGGAGAGCCCTCAAGCCTCCCGCCCTCCCAGCGAGTCGGGGTGTAGCTGGCTTACTGCGCAGCACGGCTTCGGGACTTCCAGACGGCGGAAGCTCCTCGGAGCTGTTGCTCTGGGTTTGCCCGGGTGCGCAGCTGTCGGAAGCCCCAGTGGGGAGGGACCTGCCCGCAGGAGCCTGGGTGCTCGGTGGCATGTGGCCACTTGGAACTGGGCTGGAGCAGGCAGCTGCCGAGGAAGACCTGCCCTGTGCTTCTGCTGAGATCGAACCAGGCTGAGGGTGCTCAGCACCTTTAGGGAATCGGACCTAAACATCTGTGCGCTTTGACAAAGCGCGGTGGAGGTGCTTGGAGCTGATCTGTGGCTTGGCCAAATTCCTGCCCAGCCAGACAACTTCTGGGTGTCCCCAGAGACCATTTAAGGGAGACAAAAAGGCCATTTTTGTATATTCCTTTCCCTCTGGAACTGCATTTTCATTTATTAGTGAAAAATTGGGCTGATGGCAAAGAGCTTGTCTCTCAGCTCTGCTTAATGTTTTTGCTGTATGGAGCTGGTCTCTGCCTCACTATTCTGCTGGTAATTAAGGAAAATCAAATGGCTAATTAGGAAACTACAACTTCTTGTTAAGGCTCTTTTCCCCTGTAAGTAAAACTGTAATCAACCTGGGCCCTCGTTAATCTCCCTTTTTCTCAGAGAACAGGTTTGGGGTTATTTAATGTTTGATTGCTGCTGCTTGCTGTTTGCACGGAGGTGGGACCGAGCAGCCGCTCTGCGGGAGGACGGGTGCTCGCTTCCCTGCTTTGCCTCCCGCCCGAGATGGAGCCCCGCAGCTGGGAGCAGCTCCCCGAGGCACCGGCTGAGCTCCGCCGGTGGATGAGCTCCGGTGCGGCTGCGTGCGCAGCAAGGGGCGGAAGGCAGGGTCCCAGCACGGATCCTGCCTGGCCTCCTTGCCCCCCCTGTGGGAGCTGGTGCCACCATCCCCCTTATCGGCAATTTGCAGATTCTGCTTTAACAAATAGTCGCACGATGACCCTGCGGGAGGTCCCAGCTTCGGACCTTATCGCCCTGCGGCTGTGCAGCAGGATGCGTCCCCCCGAGGTGCAGGTGCTCGGCCTGGGGCGATGGGCTCGGGGTGCTCAGCTGTGGGGTATGGGGATAGGAGCAGGGCCAGGAGGGGTGCTGGGGGGTCAAGTGGGGTCCCTGTGCCCCTCGAGGAGAGCCTGCTCCAGGGCAGAGCTGGGGTCGAGCGCTCACAGCAGTGAGTTTGGGGGGGGTCTCAGCACACAGCCAAGGCAAAGGAGGGGATGGGGCTCCCTCCAAATGTGGTCACGGAGGGGAGGATGGGGAGGGGAGGGGGGCCCTGGCCACACCGTCCCCACGGGCTCAGCCTCAGCATCTCCCCACCTCGTGTCCAGCTCCTTCTGGTGCTGCCTGTACCCCCCCGGGAAGGGTCTCCCATGCAGACACCCCACGGTCCTGCCAGCGGGAATCATCATCGCTTTATTGCAGCGGGTCGCGGTCAGCGTTACGGGCGCGTTCAGCAAAGCCTGAGGCTTTCACCAGCATGGGGGGCTGTGACCCCTCGCCCTTCCCTGGCCAGGCCCCACACTTTGCAAGGGAAGGCCGGGGACTCCATTCCCCCCA